TGTATAAAAAAAAAATTTGAATTTACATGATCCTAATGTGTTAATCAGAATTATATGAAGAAGGAATGACTACCAGTTGTGCCAGTCCTCTTCCTCCTTCTTTTTCCCTGAAACTGCCCAGTAGTTGTCATCCTTCAAACAAAGCATCCATCATATTAGGACATTAAATCACTACCATGATAACAGGAATAAATAGCTGATTAAGTAAAACAAAGTACAATAAGATATTCTACATCATGCATGTGCAGGAAAACAAGCAAACAATGTGTACTAAGAACTCACTCAGAGGATAATTTATCCATTAGGACAGCACCCCACCACCTCTTCAAACTGAGTATGTTTTTACTAGATAATTCCTTATATTCTATTCATGTAATTGATTAAAATTCAGCTTTAACAATATTTTATTTTTTACCATTAGACCAGTGAAACTGAATACATTTTTTAACCTAACTAGCGAGCTAATGTCTATGGTTTGATAGGTACCTTACCGTGTTTGATACCTACCTTACATGATAAGCTATCAGCATACAATTCCATACTAACTGATTAATGATCAGTGAAACTGTTCATCAGATTTAATTAATGTTTTCCAATGTCATGAAATCACTTGTATAAATAGCAAAAGCAAACAGATCACAAAATTATAATTTCATCAGCATGATAGGGCCACGCAGAAAAAGCATGAAAAAAAAACACATAGGTCAAGATTTTAGAACAAAAAAATGATAAACCACAGATCTGTTTTTCAGAAGTAATGAGGAAATCTGTTTTCAACAGGAGAGAAAGCTAAAATTGTGCTGTGAAAAAAATTAATAAAACAAATAAAAGCTAATACAAAGCTGTTGATACAAATCTCAATCTATATAATTATAATAAACCTTTGAGCTACAGTGTGAATGACATCTTTATTCAGCTCCTCCTCCTGTTTTCCAAAGTCAATTTCCAGTTTTGATTAGACCTAGAGTAGTGGTTCTCTCATTGATCATGGAGTACTTCTTCTCTGCACATATTAGTATTTTCCTGCTCTAACTCACCCACTTCAACTTAGAAGGAACTTCTTAATAAGCTGATTAGATAAATCAGGTGAATTAAAAACCAACACAAAGCTGTGAATACATATATCAATCTTTATACTTAATAACCCAAGCATCCACAAGCACATTTTTGAGAGCAATGGGTCTTTGAAAAAACTAAAAACATTGCTTTGTGTCAAATTATTCTGCTAGGTGTACAGACTCAAATCTGTTCTGTCACTGCCAAACTGAATATTATAAGGACTCCTACTGGACAGACACTGTACACTGTTGTCCAGATAGTGAAGAATCATTTTTGCTTAAGACTTACAGAGATATCTGTAATATCATGTAGCATTTTTAGTTTTGATGAGTTAGCGATATTACTGAAATAATTTGTTGATGGACTGTAGGCTCTCATTAACCACATGTCTATAGTCCTACATGAGAATATACAGTAAAGTATTTGGATTTTGCTCCTTTACTCTTACATACTACAACCCTTTTGTGCTTTTTCCCAGGACAAATCCTTGTAGAACCAGAAATAGTCTCACATGTATGTTGACATCTGTTTCCTTCCTTGTTCATATGTGCAGCATGCTTGTTCTAACTGTGTTTTTAAAATGTTATCCACCTGTGGGAGCTGTTTGGCAGCTTTGTTTGCTTTTTCACTGGCTACTTCATTTGATTTTTCAGCATTTAATTGCTTCCTTATGAGAATCCTTCCACGAGTTTGGTGCCAAATGGACAAACTCTTTTGACATTATTTCATGTCAAGGAATAACCGTTTTTGGACTCCATGCTTTCATTTACGTGTTGCTCTTACCAAAAAACATATTAGCATAGTAGCATTTTCTGCTACCAAGACAAAGAGAACACAACTATTTACAAGCTTTTTTGCTTTATTCAAGCTGTGTTGACCACAGCCATTCTGTACAAACAAGCCAGGCTTCAGGTTAACACATAGCTCCAGCATTGCTAGGGCCTAGGCTATTCCCCAGAAGGGGAAAAAGCCTGTGGCACATCTGCACCAATCTGCTCCTAACTCTCTCTGTCCAGTTCTTCTTTGTGTGGAAGCACAGACCTCCAAAAATGCCAGCTCCCGACGCCGCTCTTCAAAAGAAGAGACTCCCGACATGACAAACCCCCAGAACCCAAGAACACCTTCTCCAAACATGCTACAATATGTTTATCTTGAATAACTTTGTGCACACTGTGCTGACTGTGCACTTGGCTACTGTGTGCTTGGCTGCTAAAAAAATCAAATCCACTTAAAATCCACTGTCTTCGTTCATCACAGCTGTCCAGTTTTAGCTCAGTTATATGCAGTTTGCACACCTACCTAAAGGATGTCGACTTTATCTAAAAGATATTCTCTACAGCTTATTTGACTATACTCAGAGATCTTAATATTATGTTTCTCAGAGGCACATAACGACTCAAAACATGTTTACATGAGCCCTGTTTTCAAATGTTTTCTATGTGTCTTGGTTGACATTATCTAGGACAGTGGGAGGAAAGAACTGCCACTTGCTGAGATTAGCTCCCAGCATGGTTGGACTCGGAGTGATTACCTTTTCTGACTTCTCACTTAATGAATCTAATTTAGATTCACTAACTATAACTCATCTGGGTCTAAATTCAATCAGACAGTGGAACTTCACTTAACATAATGTTACTGTGTGTCCTTCTTAACCCTCTGTTTTAGCTCCTATTAATTTGCTTCTGTTGTTTTTCATCAGAGTGAGCAAATTAGACTCTAGGACTGAAAGAGGATTATAATTACACTTGCCATACTGTGAATCCAATAAATTAAAACAGAAATAATCCTAATTAAACACATACTTTTATTTTTTTAAAATTATCAACGGTTGTGCTTTTTCTTAAATTTTATACCAGCATAATTCTGGGATCAAACTCAAAATCAGTTTAAAAAAGTATAGCTCTCACATACTATAATTACATTGATGCCACATCCAGTGACATCATCATCTTTTAAGTGACATGCTTTGCCAAGATTTATCTTCAGCTATGTTTCATGTTTCTTTTGAAGTTCTTACTTTTATGCCTTTTCTAACTTTATTCTCACTGCATGATTAAACTCAACTTTTTGCAAATATTTTTTTTTCCTCATCCAATGATCTTCTCTACTGGCTATTGACTTCTGTATTCTGTAACTATTGTGTAGCTGCAACAAGATTCACATATCCCAAAAAGCTCATGAGTTGCAATTATCATAAAAGAAATGATTTTTAAATCTCCAGAGACTGCTCTTAGAACATCACACAATTTCAGGACAATGTATCTATAGTGGATTATAATCTTTCCAAACTCATTGACTATTGACTCCATTAGTTCAAAGGTTGCTTGTTTTCTCAGTGAGAAACTCTAAATGTCCTTGTTAAGAATAAGTTATCTAAATGTCTTTTTATGGTTACTATCATTACATGTGGAGGATGGTCATTTAGGACCTCGTAATGGCCATTTGTGTTCCATGTGATTACAGTCTATTTTTGGGTGGTGTATCAAAACATAATATCTGCACACTTGTGCACTCTGCTAGTTGCAGCTGGTGCACTTAATAGAGCTGAACTTAAATAGAGCTGAATTAGACTGTAAATGACACTCTTGGACCTCTTTGACAATATAGCAGTTAAAAAAAAGAAACAAAAATACAATGTATTATATATATTTGAAGCATCTACAGAAAAATAAATAAACTGAATATTAGGATGTAATATCACATTCTTAAGACAGTAAGTAATATATGTGCTGAACATTAACATAATCTAAAGAGCACAGAACAACAAAATTATTCTTTCCAGTCTCCAAAGAGTCTTAGAATATCATAAAAGTAATTTATCAAGTAATTTATAATAGATACATTTCCAAACCTGTTGACAACTGACCCCCCACATTTCAAAGGCTGCATTCGCAATCATACATGTGACCTCTCTAAATTGTAGTTGCTACAATTTAATAGAGCTGAACCTTGGATATAAATAAACTGGCTAATGTAAAAGTGATGGGACAAGGTCATTTCATACTTTGATTTGAAAAGGTAAAAGGTCAAAGTTTGCTCAAACAACTAAAAAATAATACACCTGGAATTGTTTTGCTCTGTGAAAAAAGAGAAAAAAAATGAATGCTATGATATGGATGTCACATTCTAAAGACAATAAGTGATGTCTGAGCTCATCATGAGTGTATACATTTGAGAACATCATGGCCCTTAATGGTCTTGGCCCTGCTTATCTTGGTGAGGTCCTACATCCATACAGCACCACCTGCACCCTCAGTTCCTCTGGTAGTGGACTGCTTCTAAAATACTTTTCTTTTTAAACAAAATTTCTCTCCTTCCTGTGCTTCATATTATTTTTGAAAAGTGAAATTGTGGGAAAAAAATTAAATACAAAATTATTTTTAATGTCATAACTACTTAACATTAATACTAAAGTACTCTGGTAACACATGCATGTTAAATGTATCCTAAATCTTTTTTGGAGCAGGTGGAATGAGATAGGACCAGCACACATGATTTTTAAAATGCTGTTATACTAACTTTTTACTTTTTAATTATTGCTTTTTTGATAGAGTAGAGAAAACAATTTAGAAAATGTAATAGAATGTAGATATAAGGTGGATTTTTCATGTTTTTTCTTAATATATATGAATCATATTAATGTGGTAGATGTTTCTATAGCTACAGCTCATACTGTGACCTTTAGAATAGGCTTGTCTTCAGTCATTAAACATTTACAAAAGTAAATTGTCACCCGTGAAGCAATGCATAGAGGGGGATGTGACAGTTGGTGCAAAAAATGATGTCACTGTGTAAGAAAGAAAGAAAGAAAGAAGGAAAGAAGAAAAAAAGAAAGAAAGAAGGAAAGAAAAACAGACAGACATATAGACATACAGCCAAAGAAAGAAAGAAAGAAAGAAAGCATAGTCTTAACAAGTTGTTGGTTTTTGTGAACAGTGTGCTCTGTTTTGGGTTTTAAATATATTTTATTTTGGTTATATAATATGGTCACCAAACCCTTTTGATCTCAAAACTTCCTGTAATCCAGCTGACCACAAATAGGAAAGGAGCTCAAATATTAATGTGTGGAACAAACACTGTGGTTCAAAGTGCTGCTGGCAATTAATTGTGCTTACAAACAGCATATGAATAATCATTAATTTCAACTGCAGCTGCAGAAAACAATGAAAGATAGGTGAAACAACTTCTTACATACATTTAATCTTTTCCATAAACATATACAATGAAAATAAGATCATCAATTATCAATGGCAAAGTATCTTACGTCCATACTTAATCAGATGGTGTTGATAGAGCAAAAGATTTGGCGCACCTCACTCCTGTCGGATAAAGAATACAAGTTTTATGGAGTAGGCTGCGTCAAAAATGTAGACTAAGACATTTATTGCAGTCATGAAGGTCACCACCACCAACTTATTCCAAATAGGGCGTGAGTATTTCTCAAAGGCATATAATGGCCAGATGACAACAGCAGTCATGTACAGCACTGCAGCAAGGATGTTGTAGATGGTGACTAGCTTGTCAAAAGGAAAGGGAAATGCTGACACCAATCTCCCAATGGTGAGGAGGATGATGAGCAAGGCAAAAATGAAGCACAATGAGTAGATGGCCACACACCACTGGAGCCCAGGTAAGTTATATATTGTAGGATCCAAGGAGGCGAATATGATACAGGCCACAAAGGTCTCCAGGATCTTCAAAAGGCCAGAAACAGTGGAGAGGAAACCACTTATCTCGCCAGGTCTTCTGAAGGCCAACCAGACTTCTACAGCATACAGCCCCAAACATATCCAGGACACCACAGAGGCACAAATCTCCCTGATGCATGTGGGGCAAGCATGGATGGTAGGATAGATGATCGAGGCAGCTAGTAACAGAAGTGTGGCCAACATGGCAAAGGCAGTAGTGAAGTCATCCCAAGAGATGGGCACTTTATTGTTGAGCCTAGTGAACTCCAGGATGAGGATGAAAAGGGTCATGAAACAACAGAAGCACCAAGTGAACATGCACCAGGCCCAGTATGACGAGTTGATGTGGCCCACAGAGGCCACAAGACTGAAGCAGATACAAGTTAGGACAAATTCAAAAATCCGCACTATTCCCACTGGCAGTATCAGTGATCTTAAATCCACAGACACCATTGTAATCCCTGATCGTTCTGTTGTCACACAGATCTCTTATATTTTTTCCTCGTTGATGGTTTAAAAATGTCAGAAAGTGTAATACCTTGGTCTTATGTCCTTTTTCAGAAATCAACAGAATCCTTAAAACTCCAGTGATTTACTGAAGAGTCGTCCATATTAAGACATTTATCATGCTGCAGAATTTTTTCTTCCTTTCTCTCCCTATCTCCCCTCTACTTCTTGCATAGTATACATAATCCAGAAGCGAAGCAGACTTAATCTAGTCAGATCTGCTTTCTAGAGTATATCTTGTGCCCTTTCCAACACAGACTAGACATAAATGTCTCTTCCGTGTTGCTGGCTGCAAAGGAACCAGCAACAGACCACCTTGATCTTATCAGTTCCATTTTATGATCAGATTCTATTTATTCATTGGTGGCTGATCCTTTCTTATCAAATGAGCTGGCTCCTCACTTGTTGGACTCTGCTCTAAAGTCAAAATGTTTCAGAGATTCTAATCTACATCCAACCTTTGAACCGGAACTCAAACCATGCTTGGACTGCTTTAAATGACTCAAAGAATACATTTTCACAACTTGCCCTGTAGTGGTTTTTGAAAAACTGCAAGTCTTTGTAATTGTAAAGCACCCTGGGCTGAGAAAGGTGCTGTATAAAACAAAATGATGATGACAGTGATAATGATGATGACCATTATTATTATTATTATTATTGGCTGTGACATAATCTGTTTTTCTGCATTTACAAAATATAACCCTTAAAATTAAAATGAAAGGTTTGTTTTCATCAATTAGTTAAGTGAATGAATTAGGGATAACAGAATTTTCTGATGTAAAATCCTTTACCACAAATTGTAACTATAATCATTGTATCCACCAAAATACATGTACTTTGGTGGATACAATCATGTATAGTATTTTTAGAGGTGTTAAAGTTAACACTGTAAATGACACATTCACACATTTTCCAAGTTTTCCCCTTTGAATCGGCCATAGTTCCAGCCTAAAGCCCTGCTGCTCATGTGCTGTTGCTATGATATGATGAAAAGATCCAACATTATTCAACTAAAATTCTAACCAGATTATGAAAGTGCTTAACCACACAAGCAAATTACTTCTACTTACCTTTAAGTTATGATTAGCTAATGTTACATTTTATACTATAACTGAGTATGCATGACTAACTCATTGATGTCCAATCGTGTCCACAGAGTGTGGCAACAGGTTTTCATGATTAATTGTTTTTCCTGATTAAGTGGATTCAGGGGAGCTGCTGCTTGTTTCTAATGAACACCTGCAGCTACAGCCTTTGTGGATAAGAATTGAAAACCCCTGATCTAACTGGTGAACCAACACCGCAACTTTCTTACTTCCTAGCAGACAAAGCAGTTTTTCTCCCTGGTTAGCCTCTCTCTCTGTATGAGCCTTTATGAATGCTTCGAGCGCATGGACAACTAAATAGCTAGCCTTCGAACCGTTAGCACTTTACAGAAAAGCACCATATAACTCATTATTCTACCAAATCAATTAAAGACACACACAACTGGATCAATGATTAGATCACGCTACCTTGTCATTAGTTAACGTTTGACAAAACCTATCGCTAGTTAAGCCAGAGAACTTGTAGAGAGAAGAATTACCACTCTGTAATGTCCCCGGGTTTCTCAAACCTTAGAGGGAGCTCCCGAGCGAGTCCAAAATGAATGGGTTAAGAAGGAGCATTTGAGCAAAATCTTTGTTTATAAATGCTTAAATATTTTTAATGTAAAAGGATACATTCATTTCCTGAACACTGGGTAGAAACATTTTAAAACATTTTAACACTACTGTTATATTTTTAAGAGCTTTTAAACTCGAGTTATAGAAGTTTAAAAGGGCGCCTCACATACGTCCATGACATCTGTTAGCACGAACAGCCAATGAGCACTCACTAGCAGTAATGCCAGCGTTCTGCTGCCCAATACCCATTTGCTGTAGAAAAAAGGGAAATACAAAAGTAAGTTTTCTTTTTTAGTGAAATACATGTTTATACTTTCTAAAATTAAAGGAAAGTTCTGGGCAAGTGATTTGAGAAACTATTTTAACTTTTTGTTTTTAGCCATTGAGCTCCATTTGCTCCCATTCATTGAGGACTCGCTTTACGTCGCCTTTTGTTTTCAGCTTATCTCACTAAAAAAAACAAAAAAGCGAGTAGAGTGAGTTGAGCCAGTACCATGCAGTGGAAAAGCGGCTTAAGACACACTGCTGCTTTGCAAAATTCCACAGGTATGTGGAGAGAGTGATGTAAGGCTTGCATGCAGCTGTTCGGCCATGGAGACCGATGCTATGAATCTTTTGGCACACAGTTTTTGTGCTGATGTTATTACCAGAGGAAGTCTGGAGCTCTGAAGTTAGCAAAGGGTCGGCGACTCTTATGCACTATGCGCCTCAGCACTCAGCGACCCAGCTCTGTAACTTTACATGGTCTGCTACTTTGTGGCTGAGTTGCTGTGGTTCCAAAATGCCTCCTTTTTTCAATAACAGATGGGAAGAAATTTAGCAAACTGACTTGAATCACATTTAAATTCAGTGAGCTCTTTAGAATGACTCATTCTGTCACAAATGTTTGTATAGGCAGACTACATGGCTAGGTGCTTGATTGTGGCAAAGAAACTGAATGAAACACCTGAATTTATTGATAAGAGGTGTGTCCCAATACTTCTGTCCATACTGTGTATGTATCTCAGTACTATAGCATTTGGTTGTATCTGTACTTATCTTGCATTGCACATCCTTTTACTTGCAGTTTCTTTGTGTACTATCTATGTTATGTTTATATATAGTATATCTTCTATATTTAATTTATTGAATTTAATTTTATGTTGACACCTGCACCAAAAGAAATTCTTTGTACACCTGGTACTTGGCGAATAAAGATTCTCTTTCTGATTAAGCATTAAAAAAACAAACAAATAAGAAAATATATAAATAACACAATAAATGTGATTAGTGACTTAGTCAACTAAAAATTCTACAATTAGTCAACTAGTCAAAGGAACATCCCTAGACCAAATTTTTGATAATTAATATTATTATTGGTTTCAGGTATAAATGTTTGTGATTAAACCTTCTTAAAAGATTGTTTATGTTGGTCATAAGTTTACTAAATATTAAAATGAGTATTTTTTTATTAAATAAAACACTGAGTGGGTTTATTAGGAACAAAAGTGGGCTTAAGTGGTATGAGGGGCCCATATAGGGCTTGTCATCTTTTCTTTTCTTATTTTATTTATTTTCTATTAATAAAGCACATAAACTTTTTTATGTTAGAATAGAGGTTATTCTTTCATTTAATTAACGTACACCATGAAAATCTGAAAATCCCTATTAAAAATGTTTACTTAGATTGGGCTTATTAGTGATTTTTTCCCTAACAATCTCTCTCTCTCTCAATCTCTATCTCTGTTTCACATGCACAGAAGTGCACACACACCACACACTCCAAAGGCAAAAACTTCCTTCTGTTAATGACTAACCTTTGCTTTCTTGACTACGCCTACTTTTCCAGAATGTACTCAAGTTTAAACCATATGCCAGGTTAGAAAACAGTAAGAGTAGGATTTACTTGGCATTTGTGGTGAAACTTGCTCACATAACGTTGACTTCACCAATTTTCTGGCCTTTCTTTCTCATGTACTGCTTCATACTTTTCACACATATTTCCCGCAATGTGCCTGACATCTTAGACAGGGTGGTACTGCTGTGTGAAATCTTGAAGAATATCAGTCTGCCTCATCTGCAGACCCTGGAAAATCTAAATCACAAAAATAACAAGAATGAACAATATAATAGCATACATCATATGAATATTATTCTGAAAACTCAAATTTGACTGGCCATTGAGTGGTCATTACAGTTACAAATACACTACATGGCCACAAGTGTGCACACCTATACATCACACTCATATGAGCTTGTTGGACATCCCGTTTCAAAACCATTCTCATCTTGCTTTTCACAAGATTCTGGAGTATGTCTCTGGGAAATTGTGCCCATTTAGTCAAAAGATCATTTGAGATCTGAGGCACTGATGTTGGATCATCTGAGGCACTGATGTTGGATGAGAGGGCCTGGCTCACAATTGACGTTCCAGTTCATCCCAAAAGTGTTTAGTGGGGTTGAGGTCAGGGCTCTGTGCAGGCCACTGGAGTTCCTCCACACCAAGCCGTCACAGTCTTGAGATTCTGTGAGATTACGTGGTCTCCTGCTTCATGGTTAAGCTCTTGTTGCTCCAAGGCGTTTCCATTTCACAATAATAGCACTTACAGTTGACTGGGGCAGATCCAGCAGGACAGAATTTTCATAAACTGGCTTGCGGCATCCTATGACAGTGCCATGTTTAAAATCAGTGATCTCATCAATATGACCCATTCTACTGCAAGTGTTTGTCTATCGAGAATGCAAGACTATGTGCCAGTTAGCAATGGATGTGGCTAAAACACCTGAATTCAATAATTTATAAGGGTGTCCACATACCTCTGGTCATACAGTGTCTATCCAAAATAAATGTATGAATTATTTAAAAAAATGAGTTACTTGGCAAACAGCCATGGAACAAACAGGATAATGTACAGTAAACTAGCCTCTTTTGGGTTGTTAAGATGCAAAATGACTGTATTAGTACTTACATATTGAGCAGAAAACACTACACACACACACATTTTCTAAGCTGCTTATCCTTCTGGGTCACGGGGGGAGCTGGAGCCTTTTTTATAAATGCTAAATAATGCTATAGTTTTTTTTTCTCTAATTTGTAACTGTGATATGCAATTTACAACTGATATAATAATGAACTTTATTGTCTTTCTTTTGTTATTTCTTGTTTCTTACTTGTTTTCAATTGAAAATGTAAATATTTAATACTGCAAACTACAAACCCAATTCCCCAATTCCAAAAAATTGGGAAAGTAGGTAAAATCCAAATAAAAACAAATAGCAGTGATGTATAGATCTATTTGAAATGTATTTGAACAAAAGCAGTACAAAGACAAGATATCTAATGTTTTATCTTATCAACTTTGTTTTTGTAAATATACAGCTATTCTGAAACTGATGCCTGCAACGCATTCCAAAAAATTTGGAAGCTGGGAATATTTAAGACTGAGAACTTAGTGAAATATTCAACATCATTCATGATTCCAAACAGGTGACGGAATCATGCTTCGGTATAAAAAAAACATCCAGGTAAGGCCAAGTCCATTATGAGTGAAGATGGGTCTCAGCTTGCCACACTGCCAAAATGCTTCAGCAAAAAAACGTAACAGTTTAAAACTAACATTCCTTGGCCACAAATTGTAATGATTTTAAGCATTTTACCATCTACACTGTGTAATATCACCAAAAGATTC